GGGACTATGACGGAGCAGCTCCAGTCTGTCGAGACAGTTTCCTGCTCCCAAAGTTCCATTAATAACTTGTGTAAATCATCCACAAGAGCAGGTCCCCGGATTTGTAGAGAGCTGGGGGAATTCTATCTGCACCAGCGGCCTTATGCAATTTCAACAGTCTGATCTCACTTTCGACTTCTGTGCGTAAGGGCGGATCTACGGAGATGGCCTACGGAGAAGGGTACTCAATGCCCGCAAGAGAAAGCGATAACTCAGTTTGGTTAAACTGCCTTGCTAAGTGTTCGACCCAACGCTATGGACCGGCTGTCCACTCTCGCAGAGTATTGTCTTGTTAACACCAGGTCTGCTGCTGTCTGTTTCCCGTATCAGACGGAATAACTTAGGATGATTACCAACGGCAGCGGTTGTTTCCATTTCCGATGCACGTTGAGACCACCAGGCTTCGCCTTCTCTCTTCAAGCTAGCATGCAGTTTTGCACTGAGATTTTTGCGAGTCTCATTTTATTCGCCTCCAGCCGGAATAAGTCGGCGAGCATCCATCATTTCCGGAGACTTTGTAGAGACCCAATGTCTAGGTTGGCAATTTGATTTGCCACATGAAGACATGCCTGCTGATAGTAACATTTGACGAATATACGATCAGGGATCTTCGACGGTGTTTAGTGGACGCTTACTCAGCCCAGATGCTAGCGTAGTTCAATATGCATTCAAGACACCCGGGTTCGCTAGCTGGCTGGTATCAATGCGCTCAGAACGACGTTGCACCGAAACGCCTCCGCAGGTCGGCACACACGAGGGCGTGATCGGAGTCCACGCTGGGGCTCCAAATCAAGCGGCAGTTTTCGACGCAGCCTCTCCAGCGGTACCTCATCGCGATGTGATCGATTTGCGTCCATTGCTGTCCCGAGGCTGATGGCCGTCAAGTCACTCTTCTGCAGGTGCTGTATCAAAAGTTAGTGCTCGCGAGAAAGTGACGAGCACCTTCACACAGGTGTAGCAACCGCTCACCGTTATCATTACGGGAGTCTACACCATGTTGGCCGCCCAGATGTTTACATGAACTGTTTTCCATAAACTTTCTCACGTCCCTTAAACTACTTTGTTTAACTTCGGTAACGTTTTCGCGTTTGTGGTATTTTCTTAAAATATACTTTCTGTCGTCTTGAACCTATTGTTGATTTGTTCGTAACCAATATATTTCAAATGCTTATTTAGTAAAGAGTTGTGTCTCCGTATCTGTATGCATTATTCAACTTATTTTATCTGATATAATGCAGCCGTCCGTTCATCCATCTTGTACGGTTATGAAACCCGGCCCATCAAGTTGACAGACATAAAAAAAAGGCTAGCCACGTTCGATCCTCTCCGTCTCCGTTGCTTAGCTCATGTCTGGCAGGAGCACCGCGTGAACAATGAGCGTGTTCGGCGTCGCGTATTTAGTGCAGGAAGAGCTAGTGAACGCCTCAGCACCATTATATCACTCACTAGGCTCCGATGGCTAGGCCACGTGTTACGCATGCCAGCATATCGACTCCCGCGATGTGTGTTGTTTGCACCCCGGGCGTGCGGTTGGATGAGGAAGTGGGGAGGCCAAGTGATGACTTGGTTGTGAGAAACGAAAACCCTCACTTGGAAGTTGGCGTCGGTTGATGCATCTCGACTGCCTGGCTGGATTCTAAGAACGATGAACACATTTTGTTGGACACAATTGTTGATATGGCTAGGAGGCGGCCACAATGGCGTTTGTGTTGTGCGTTCTTGTGTCCATCCCCATCCCGCTTAGCCTTCCCCTCCAATCACGACCTCATTCGTTAGGCGTAATATAACTTTTTGCGGCACGATAACTGACTGCTCGCTCTCCGGAACGATGTCCATCCGTTAATGGGGACTCAGCCGGCGTGCCACTGTTGTTTATTTCTTCTTGTCTTTTGTAATGCGGCACAATAACGGATTTGTTTTCCATTTGCAGCTAACATGTATACTAATGATGATGGTTTTTGTTATCGTCGTTTCAAATGATTGGCTGTTACTTGATATCCACAGTGTGGCTGCGCTTGATGTGCATGCTGAAAAGGTACCTACCTGTCTATTACCCACTACCTCGTCTATACTGGCTCTAGGAGACAATTCGTCGTTGCTGGAAGGTACGGTGTGCATTCTTCTTGTGGCCGTGCTAGGCTCGAACTGTGGTTCCATGCACTCAGTGTGAAGCAGACTACGGTCCAGCCACCGCCTTGTGTGCGCTTGATTCCCATATACAGCGTGCATGTGTTTGTCTGTGTAGGATTGTGGGCCGGCTCCATTGATGAAAGGTGGCTCCCACCCACATGTCTTTCGGTCTTGTTCCTTCGGGTTTACACTGGATATGGGGTGTGTGGTTGGAGCTGTGAGTGGTGCAGCGTAAGCCACCCCTTGTCCCTCTGTAAGCGCTGGCGTCCGGTGGCTTGCCACTGTGACAGGCAAATCCGAAACCGTATCCCGCCTGCCATATGAGCTTAGGGATACCTATTTCTTGAGCAAGCGGGAGACGTATTGCATCGAGTGCTCGCTGAAAAATTTGGCAAAGTGGCGCAGCGGCCTACTCAGGGAACATTTTGTGAAACTGAGTTGAATCCCATCTGGACCTGTTCGTATTTCACTCTAGGAGCAGTTTCGTGACTGAATCTGTGCTACTTTTAAGGTGCGCCAGATTAGAAAGAGTTATAGGAGCAGGGTTATTAGGCAGCGGTTCTTTGATTGAGAAGACAGAGGAATATTACGAGGCGAAGAGCTGAGCTTTTACATAATCTGCATTAAGTGTAAAGCCATTTTCGGGAGAATAGGGGCAGGTATCTCATTATCGGCTTTGGTATTACGCTTCAAATTGGAGGAAAGTAGCTTGGGTGTGGTTATCAATTCCTCGGCTAAGTGATATTCATATTGATGTCGTTTCTCGCGCTTCCTTAAAGTGCAGACGTTCTTGACCGCTTAATAATTAGAGTAACCTAACGTTGCTTGCGTAGTTTTGAACGTATCTCACAATTTACGTCGTCTATTCATGATCATTTCAAGGTGGACCTTTGGAGAATCGTTTACTTTTAGTGAATGGGACGACTTGCTTGATGAGTGACATGAGCTTGGAGTGCGAAAGACTACAGGCATTATCAGCGTATAAGTGCTGAGGTGTACTCCAATCCATAGTGCCAGCAGTAGTTTTAAAATCATTTGCATCGACTCGTCAGAAATTTCTTGGATCATGAATGGCTTGACTTTGCATCCAGTAAACGGAAACTGCACAGTGATCGCTCGTACCCAGCGGCTGGAGAATAGTCAAGTCAGAAACACCAGACTGTGCTGGTGTGAGCACAAAATCGAAGACCTGTGGCGACTAGTCCGCACGTATCCTGGTGGGCTCTGCAGCATGCTGAAATAGATGACATGCAAGAACCATTTCAGGGAAAACAGCGTCAAAATACGCCAGGGAAAGATCGCAATGGGCTATATCCCAATCGATGCCAGCAGCGTTAAAGTTTCACAGAATCAGCCAATCTCTGTCACCACCATATTTCTTTCCAGCGTTCAGCAACCTGGTTTCGGAACCCGAAGGGGCTCTGTAGATAACACCAACCATAAGAGACTTGCATCCATCATGGATCCGGCACCAAAGAATTTCAGATCCGCTATCATTGTCACAGATTGTTTCCACTAGATGACGTCTGAGATCTTCTTTCTAGTAGAAAATCACACCACCACGAGACCTCGCTCCAGAACGATCGGCCCGAGATATGTGATACCCGGGACTATACACTTCAGAGTTAAGTAAGTCCGATGATAACCAAGTCTCTGTGAAAGCCATTAAGTCCGTGCGACTGTCAGAAGCAAGGAGCTGAATCTCATCAAGTTTGTTACGTAGGCTACGTACATTAGTAAGTATCACCCTTAATCCATTCCCCAATGTAGTCGCCCAGGGATGACAAAGACTGGCCTCCAGCGAACTCTCGATGTCTTTCGAAAGCCCCGAAAATCCACCATATGGGTACTTACTATTTTCTCGACGTATCTATATCTCATCAACAGTTGCTTTCATTTGGATCCCGTTCTCAGGAAGGTCTCGTAGTACGCAGCACTTTTCACCCTTAGGATGCGGAGTACTTCTCAGAATCCGGTGACATTCATCTTCGTTTTGGCAAACGAACCTTAGAGGCGTCGTCAGACCTCTTGGCGAGATGAAAAGCAGAGACGATATTTATTCCCGTTTCCTTTTTACCAAAAAGGAGAGTGATCATACGACTTAGGAACGCTTGGGCATCCTACCTCCTTTCAGCCCAGAGTTCTTCTTTGGCTCAGGAGCATTCCTAATAATCAAGCAACGATCACGGAAATTGGGTTTGCTGCCCATAGAAGACTGGAGATTCGGATGATTCAAACTGTCCTTGAGGGCTTTTTCCAGCTGACTTACTCTGTCAAGGACAAGCTTCAGATCGGAAGAAGATGACTTAGTTTTCGGTTTAATGACGTAATTTTCCCTCAGACAACAATAATTTTTCATCATCCTTTTACCTTTTTTCGTTTGTCTTCACTATCCCACTTTTGATTACTATAGTAGCAACGTGGGCTAATACTTCCGACCCCAGCATACTTTGGCCCTGGAGTCATGTCTGTTTGTTCGCACTGGACTGTACTTAACTGGTACCACTTTCCTCTTTTGGGTTTGTGGATGTACACTGATCAGTGACCTGGTGCCACTTTTATGTATCCGAATCACTCTTATGCAACTATTTTTTCTCGGACACCCTGTATCCGCATTTTCTTCATGGGATGCTTATGTTCTGGTAACAGATATGACAAGTTCTTTCATTTCACATGGGTACCAGTATCGCGCTTGGTAAATGTACAATCAGTAGTATAACTTATCAGAGAACTACGTGATGTATTAGTAATGTCTGTCGTTATCTGAAACCAATGTCCAACTTTTTCTACTTTCGTTCCTTTTTCATCTGCTCTCATTTCTTCAACTTCAGCCGCATGAAATCATGCAAAAGTTGCACCGCATTCACTCGCCATCGTGTATGGATCACGTGAATTGACCTTCGTCTAGTTCGTTATGAATCGTTCAGATCATTTTCGAAGTTCCAATGTTTCTTCGATCAACACCACAACATCTGTCGCGTTGCATATTGCTCTCGGTAGATCAAAAGAACAACTTGTAAGCAACTTGACCATCCCACTGGGGGCTTCGAACCGCAGCACCAACGCGACTGTTGCAATTGGCCTCGAACTCAAGACCACAAACAACCCAACTGATGTAGACTGGACTCGTCGCTTGATTCTACAACCAGGTGGCGTTGCGATGCGCGTGGAGCCACCTAACCAGTTCCCAAACATAAACACGACGGTTTCTACTAAGCGTCCGTTTGAGGCTGGTCTGGATGACCCTGGGGTTGGTCTTGTGATTGATGTGGTTACACCGGCTCACAACAATGCAGTGACTTCAGAGGAAGCGTTGCTCAATCGGTCTTCTGTTCTTTTCGTGGCTGTCTCTTTCATTCTACTTATGGTTATCAGTTTGGCATGGCTAGTATTCTACTACGTGCAACGGTTCCGCTATCTGCATAGCAAGGAACGCGTCTCGGTGAGTACGTTCTTGTATTTGACTCCATCTCGTTCGGTGCGGCCCCCTATATCAGTGAAATGATATTTTATTCTATATAGTCAATGTTTTAGGATGCATAACCAAAGAGTACTATCTTTTCATACAATTTCGTCACTAGTATTTTTTTCTTCTCTTCCTCCGTTGCAAATGGTTTTTCCCCCGTCTAGCCTGAGAAAGGACTGTCTGATTTGCCACTGCTTTTCTCTATACATCCAGTCCCTTTTTTATACCGCAATGTGACATTTCTCATCTGGTCTTTCGGGGATCGCATTGTACGGTCAGACCGATCAACATGCAACTCTTCTGCTGTCCCTTCGAACAGATACGTACCGTTTCTCCAGTGCACTGCGGCGTCTCAATAAGCCTACAGTTACTGTTCTCCCGCTCCCATTGACAATGACCATTTTTAGCACCTCTGTTGCCATCGAGACGATGGCTGAAAGTATTTACCGTATCACTATTGTCATTATCGGAATAACTGGAAGTACTCATGCTGAATGGGTCCCGGTAAATAACCGTTTGTGTGCGCTCAGATTTCCATGCGTCAGCTAAATTAGTAGACAGCGTCCGAGGACTCAATGCTTATTAACACCACTCTATATGTGTTCTATCCATATAGCTAGGACTCGCGAAATCAGCCATATCTGTTGGCAGAGAATTTTTGACAGTTTACAGTCTCGTGGTCAAGGCACTTTCGCGTTAGGCTCACCGTCTTCTCTGGGTTTTTGCTTCTCACGCTATATTTTATCCCTATATTTGGGTTGTTAACTGGTTTTGTTTTTATCATGGCTGCGTGTGTCCTAACACCTGGATCAACCTAACTTCCATAGTTTTACCATAGGTGACTAGCTGAACTGATTCGTCTATGCTTCTTGCTATAGCTAACAAAGCAGACAGACCCGGTGTGTCCGTCCGTGTTCCATCTACACGTGGTCCCTCCCTGCCACTTCGATGTCGACTACGGAATCCTCTCTTTGTCAGTAATCGTGGTTTTTTTCGCACACTTCATGTCAAATTTAATTTCCTAACCACTCCAAATCGCGCCGTCGTGGAGTTACTCTTGTTCCCGGTGTTAATAGCGTAGGGGCCAAATGGGACCGAATGTTTAGCTCGTGACACATTCGACACGTAGACGCCATTTTCATACTATAACATCAAACGATCGAACTGCATATTTGATCGAAACATATTTGTATGACACTTGGTTCTCACTTGTGAATCGGGGCTCGTGCAGCGTACTACTTACTGCAAGCTATTTTGAAGTTCACCACAGGTGCGTAGACCATGCAAATATTCTCGGAGTTATTGTCCTCTCATGCTTGATCTCTGTCCTTCATATCGTGTCTAACTGGGGAAGTTAAGTGGACCACAAACATGCCACTCGGAATCAGTCATCTTGTTAAGTTTGTTGGAAGCAGCCGC